CTGCGGAAAAGCCAAGACTTCCGCCGCGTGAAGCTTCCTGGGTGCAACGAGCTGACTTCCATGAACTTGGAGACGTCACGCCGTAACCCCGCTCTTGAATTGCCTTTACCAGACACGCGCTTCCCGGCTGCAGCAAGCGGTCAGCTCGAAACGGCATTTTAAATGTGGGGCATTTGCCCTTATGTTGCAGTCCTCACTAATAGTCATTGTGCACTGGCTACTTTAGATTAACATATCCCTTTTTAAGCAGCACTGTTTGCTATGCTTCTTGTTTGTACCTGTTTTTGGTGAGTTGCCAGCAGACGTGCAGTGCACTGACACATTCCGGAAACGCAACTCGGAGCAGCTCTGTGCTTCTGCATTCGTCCTTGCATCCATCGAGCAACGAAGGGTGGAAATAGAGCTAACCGGCGATGCGCACGTATCCGTCTGCGCAGCGGTCAACCGCACACCAAACGGTCAGCGCTAAGCATTTTTAAAAAGTGTCTTTGAGAAACGCTTCTACATGCAAAGTAGTTATAACTATAACGGTCTTTATGACCGAAAAGAGGCGGCACTGAAGGCACCCGAAGACATATATATACATGGAAGGGCAGCCAGCACCCCGTCAATTCGCCCACACGAGCAACCAAACGTCGTTTCGGGCGAAGACCCAGTTATACAACTATGNGGTGATGGCCCTCTGAGCAGCAGCATCACCATTGTCTCTCTAGCAACCCGCTGCCCTGAGATCTTGGGGCAGCTGTACTGGGCATAAACCTCTGCTCTGACTTAGCCCTAAAGCGTTCTTCGTCTTTCCAGGCACTGCAGGTTTGGAAAAATGTGCGATGGAACGCGCGGCAGTTACCCAAACTCGCAATCTGTATCCTCGCCATACCGCTTGAATTTTCTTCGCAGCCTGAATACGCAGCAGAGCCCAGCCAAGCATACACATTATACCCTGTTTGCAAGCTACCCTCACACATGATCAACTGCCTTATCCTACACCGATCAAGTATGTGCAGTACCCCAGTACCATCACCTTCCAAATAATCTACTCTGTAGTACTGTATATGTGCTTCAACTACTTACTTCATTCATGGCCTTCGCATCCCGGCAAGGAGGTAGTGGGCTGTCCAGAACCTGCAGGCCAGAAAACAGCGCAGGCACAGTTTTGTTAGTGAGCCAGCTTCGCTGAACAAAGGCACGACTTCCATGCAGTTTCTTGTACTGAAGGAAAGAAGTGCCTAGAAGCCTTGGAGAAACAGATGCAGATGCACTGGCTAGATTATGCNCTTGTACTGAAGGAAAGAAGTGCCTAGAAGCCTTGGAGAAACAGATGCAGATGCACTGGCTAGATTATGCAGCATGGAGCCTTAACGATCGCTCTTTGGGTTGTGAACAGGGTCAATCTAAACTCTGAGTCTTGAGTCCACCTGTTTGCTTGAAGCTTGTGCCATCTTGCGCAGCTGCTCAGCTGCGGCTCTTGCGACGTCCGCGCGGTCTGCAAGATTGCTTCGATCGGCGCATCCATCGGCTCTCGATACGATTCGTGAGCGGGCACGTGACACGACCGCTGCAAGTCGACGCTGCTCGTCCATTTCAGCTGCCGCAGCCAGCTCGTGTTGCGTTGCGTAAATGTTCTGTGGCAAGCGGGCGCGCTGCAAAAGTGAGGGATCCGTGGTCTGCGCAGAAGATAAATCAATGCGCTCTTGAGCTAGAAATTGTAATGCATCCAACTGAAAGTGGCTAGGCATCGACGTGCAATCCAGTGTAAGCAGGCAAGACGTGGAAACCCGCTAAAATCTTACCTCATGTTCGCCCTTATGAGCAACAGGTGAATCGTCCTTCGGAGGAGCAGTGGGCGGCGTTTGAACAGACGGTTTCCCAATCTGTTCTACCCGTTCCTTTGCTCCCTCGTGACCTGACTGACTGCCCCCAATTTTCACGTCTTGGTAAGCATCTCTAGACAAGCTCTGCGGTCCTCCACTTGGCTGCGTACAAACGCAAAACAGACAGCAGTATATAATGCGAAATTCAACGCTTGACGAGAACAGCAACAGAACAGAAAGCACTACATGATGCAACATGCAATATTTAAGATAAACTGGTACTGCCCACCCAATGTGTATACCATGGTGTCTCTCGTCGCACCCAACATCAGCTTATTTAAAGTCACTTCTGCACCGAAAAAGCATGCCTCCCTATGGAAGAAAATACAAGGAGGGAGTGTCTCCTTCTTACCTCCACTGTATTCGACTTAGGGCCCTGAATTTCACTAGCGGCCCTCGCGGCCTCAATTCTTCGCAGTTGCTCAGCAGCTGCCTGCGCGACATCTGACCTCTGCTCAAAGCATTTCAGCTCAGCTGAGCCTTCTGCCCGAGATATTGTCCTAGAGCTTATCCTTGAGGCCAGGGCAGCTGCTCTCCTCTCATTTTGGGCGGCGAAAACTTCGGCGACGGCCTTCTGCACGGCCGCAGCCCTCGTCGAGGAAGTGGGGCGCGCTGAAGCTTCACGCCCTGCAGTTTTCACATCATTTGTGTCCGTAGCTCCACTTTCATTTAGATCTCTCTCTCTACGATGAATTCCCTCACTGTTCGGGGCTGCCGACGTTTCAAAACCACTGGAAGAGCTTTTCGTGTCTCCTTGCGCAAGCGAAGGAGCACGCTGGTCCCCTGAGTTTTTCAGTTCATGACTACCACTTCGTTCTACAACTTCTGTGATGGGTGGCCCTTCCGAGACAAGATTTGTGCCCTGTTGGGCCTCCACAGACTGTACATGCATGTTGACCAAAGACCGCTCCCGGCGAAACACATCAGNGTGCCCTGTTGGGCCTCCACAGACTGTACATGCATGTTGACCAAAGACCGCTCCCGGCGAAACACATCAGGGGTAGCGGTTCCACTTAAGGGGCTCTGGCTGGAGTCCTGGAGTGTCGTCATACGACTTAGAGCTGCAGGTCTCGAGCTTGCACTCAACGGAGAGGATGCTGCCTCCCTAGGAGGGTCTACTGGTTTCGCCCTTGGCCGGATGTGACCCCTGAACCACAGCCTCACAGCACACGATAACTCCCTAGCCTAGCAATCCCAGCATCAATTGTCGACTAGGGGCAAAAGCACAGCACATTGTCTGCAGTATAGGGAGAGGACACTTACACTGAAGTTGGCACTGCGAGGTGTACGTGCTGAACGCGTTGGCGAGACATCGCACGGCTGCTGCTAACATCCCGTGGGGATACCGAAGGACTCGAGGCAGCTGAAGGGGAAGGCGGCCGCACTATAAGGTCCGCAGAACTGGGTTTGAGCTGCTCAACCTCCATTTCACCAGACATGACTGTGGAGGCCTCATTCGCGTCATTAATGTAGCCGACGCGAGATAGTGCATTGCGTGGGCGGCCTCTTGGCCATCCAACGCTGGGGCTCTGCGTGCGCTCAGAGAGAGCCTCACCGCTTCCCCCAGGTGCCGCCTGTGAGGGGCCTCCACCACTTGAATTGACCTCATTTACTGTGTGTCCGCCCGACGGGGGCAGTTCAGAGACTGAAAGCGGGCTGTCCCTGCCGGAGTCTGTCGCGCCTTTTCCAGGTCCTAAGTTGCTGTTTAGATTGTGTTGCTCCTCCTGGGATGAACTCATTGGGCAAGGTTTTCCAAGAAGTCTTCGGATTGGCGCACAGATCGAGCTGCTTCCGTGACCGGAATCTCACACCGCACCCAACGCCTCTCCACTGGCCTACTCTGATCATGCCGCAGGGTAAAACAAGAAACCCTTAAATAGAAAGTTCCCCAACTATTAAATGTGCACCCGTAGCTGCTAAAGCTTCAATGGTCAAGGACCTGCTGTGGACCTGCTCGGGATGGGGGCCACTGATGCCTCATGATCCGGCACGATATCCAGCGGAACGGGAAAACTATTTTTATCAAAAAAAGCCCGCTTGAAAATAACGCACATGCCTCTGAAACTTCCACAGTATAATTCGAACCCGCTGCTGACGAGACTCGTCGCAGCAGTCGCTGCGGTTCGGTTTGGTTTGGTCAAGGCGCAAGCGAAGCCCCTCGGGAGTTCACAGGAAGGCTCCTCCAAAAGGTTATTTCTCTTGTGAAGTTTTTAAACATTAAAGACTATCAGAAAACGTGATCACAGCTACTTTTTTTTTTAACCACCTGGCGCAACATATGGCCTCCAGAGCCAGCTAGATAAGCAGCTTTCGCTAATGAATGCAGACGATAGTTGTAATGCACAATATTTACAGGTCAATTTTACCAAAGTAGTGGATATTATTACGGCCCAACTGCTGTGTGTTGGGGCAGTTTAGAGCAGATGCCGTCACAAACTCCCCAGTTCTAGAGCTGTTACGGGGAAGAAGCCACTCTGACAAACCCATTGAACCAACGCTGGTAACCTCATATGGCCAGGAGTGGCCTATTTGAGCAGGTTGCAGTGGTTCGGATCAATTACTCCCCGGGGTGCTCCACAGAGGAAACGGATAAGCACGAAAGTACGACCAGCTTAAAAGAGCGCAGTATAGAATGAGTTCAGCACAAGCATCAGGACTCCCTCCCTCCCCACTTGTGCGAGACCACCCAGTTACTTAGTACTACACCAACAATATCAAGGACTACAGTCTCCTCCGTCTGGTGCTCCTTTGTCTAGGAAGGCTGCGAATTAAGCCTGAACGAAGGGCGCCTGATGTGGCCTGCTCTAGAGTAACCAACGCCCAGACACTGATATTGAGAGCAGTGCTTCAACAAGCAATGCTTTTGGGAAGCAAAACGTTTTGCGTGAGGCGTTTTGTTACAGTGAGAAGTACACAGAGTTACATTTTAAAAATCAATAGGTTAACACAGCTGCGGCGC